CATAAGTGTGTGAACAGTATGATGGTATCAGTGGAGAATAGGAACAGTTAATTAGATGTGACTCCTGTCCACTGCAATGAGTTAAAGACATCAGTATAGGACCTGAGCCTTGCCCAAATTCACTAGCTGTACCATAAGCAACTGATCCTAAATGCTGCATATATAAGTTGTATTACATGTACTTTAATTACCTAGCTCGATGTGCCCTGCTTGCCTACACACAACATTACTGTCAAGTGTATCCCAAGAGTACCGCCAAGTCCTAATACTGTCTCTTCTACTACATACAGTTCCCCATACTCTATTGATGCATATTTCTACACGTCCTTCATACTGAGTGTTACCATTAACCAGTCTCACTTCACCTTCAGTACAATTTGCCTCAAGTACACCGAAATCTTGATAAAAATAATTAAGAAATAGACACACTTTTAACTAATATATAGAGTCACTTACTCTGACAGAAGACATTAGCATCTCTGTTAATGGAACAAGCATAGCCAGCCAGACCATTATGTGGACAGGATAGTATAGTGGTTTCATTTCCTGTACAGTTTAGGTCAATGATGGAATGTGATTGTGCACTAGAATTGAAATATGATACCACAGATCCTATAGCACCTGTATAGCACAAAACATAAAAGTTACTTGAAATGATACTATCATACCATAAGGAGAATATCCTAGCTGCTTGCATACCACACTGGCATCACTATTATCCCAAAAATCACTGCATATGCTTCCCCAGTATCCATTAGAGCAAACCTCAACTGCTCCATATGAAAGACTGGAATTTGTCTAATAATAAGTATTACATGTGTATGATAGCACTAAGCAGCAAAAAAGGTGCTTACCAGTCTAAGAGAGCCATCAGTGCAGGACTCAGTGAATTGAATGCAAGCAGAAAAGAGCAAAATCAAAAAAACAAGCTGCAGCATTTCTTCCTATTGAAAAAATATTAAGCATGAAAAACATATACGCATAGTCTATTATCATTATTATCTACAAATAAAAAAAGAGAAAAAAACATAAAACAAAGAAATCAAAAACCAAAGACATAAGGCCAAAGACAAAACTGAATGAACACAAATAAACAATGAAGGAAAAGGGAAGAGAAAAAAGAGCCAAAGAAACAACCAAAACAAGAATGAAAGGGAGAAGGAAAGAGACAAAGGAGCTATTATCTATCACGAGTTGCATCATTATTATTATTGTTATTATTAGTATTAAACTTCACAGACCAATGTAATGTATTGGGGGTATAATTCCGGGGAAATAATTTCACAAAAATCACAAGATAAAATTTTTGCATTTTTCTTTTACTAACCATTATTAGTATATTAAAAAAATAATTTTCATAAATAAGAATTTTCACAAATTTTTAAAACCATTAAATCAGTGAAATTAAATCCTCATGAAATATACCCCCTATACTGTAACATAATAGACATGCAACATATAAGTAAAGCTTGACATGAAAATTGGTGTGAAGGAGTACATCCAACTTGTGGAAGCATCGATAATAAGTACATGTCACAGTATTAAATAAATTACGAGTCTCTAGTTTTAACACCCTGATTAGAATCCCTATTACAATCTAAATCCATTGTTTTAAGTCATGTCCTTTTAGCAATTGGAGTCCAAGTATGTATCTTATCAGTACGTATAGTTGTTCCATTGATTTAGGTAAAAAATGTGACTAATCAGCTGACTAAGGCCATTTATGAAGCACCCCTTCCTCTGATGACTCAGAGTCAAGACGGTAGCAAAAATCACTAGAGCGATCTTTTCTATAAGGTTTGACCTCAATCTACCCAGAGTCAACTTCGCCAGTGTCATAGACTACACCAGGGATCCCTTTTCTACTTTCAAATATAGCAGGATCCCAATTGCATTTGGTCACGCGAGACTATCAAGAGTATTGGTGGAAGAAGATTTAGGTCTAGTACTAGTTGAGTTATGAGGTTTAGATTTAGCTCTAGAATTAGACTGCCGCTGGCCACTATTACAACTAGTATTATCATTGCCTTTAGTCACTCCTTTAGTAGTTGTATTAGATTAGTTTTTGTTGTTTTTCTTTGATTTGTGGCTCCTATTTTTATTGGGTTGAAGGGGCCTAAGGAGGCTGATTGAGAAACCAGAATCAGACAGTCTAACTGTCCAATTATAGGAAGATAGTGATAGATTCCTACTCTGTAGTTCCTCAGAGAGGGCAAAAGAAAGCCCAAGCTCAGTTAATTGAGCATAACAACCATCCAAACTCATGATATGTGGTTCTTTCTTGTCCACCAATTTTTTACTCTGAGACAAATTGTGCAAGCTTCACAACACATAATTAGGGTTAGCAGTTTGATTCGAATTTTTGCTAACACACATATACACAAACAGAGAATGAGTGGACAATCAATTAAGGCTGATCCACACTTAAAACTTAACATAAGGTAAGGCATTAATTAAGTTAAAGTGCAGGCAAGGGTAATTACTAATAACTAAAAAACTACTTCATGCAAAACTAATTTACCACACTGATTAAAAAATCCAAGTTAAATCAGAAAATGTAAAAATTCTTTTAATACTATTTTCTATTTGGG